TAGAAAGCAATCTGAGCCGTTCATTATATTTAATTGTAGGGTTGTGATCTATTTCTACTCCCACCAGAGTTAGTGGTAGTAGAAATGTACAAAGGTATATTCGTTCAGGGATAATAATTCGTGCAGGGGTATTATCATAATTTATCAATATCTAACTCATCTTCGGCGACGCCACCGCCGTCTTCCAGCACTGCGACATCGTCGCACGCTTCCCCCTCCGCGGCCAGCAGAACACCATCACCGCCCAGTCCCGCGCCACAGGCTTCTCGTTCCAGGACTGCAGCATCTACGCTGACACCGACCTCCTCCGCGGTGCCCCCGCCGGCAGCAGTGTGGAGACCTACCTCGGCCGGCCGTGGCATCCGATCCCGAGCAGCTCGCCATTCTCCGACACAGTGGAAAACTAATGGCTGATTCCTTCGACACTATGGCAAGAACTTGCCATGGAGCTCAAGAACGCCCTCTCAACCTCTTCAGAGGCATCTCTGCTAATCAAGCACATGACGTACTCTATCACTGATGCATCGCACGTCAACGTGATCCTGCCATCATCGCCGGCGAAGCCAAATTCCTCTTGAGACATGGCGAGGAGCTCGCCGAAAACCACCGTGCAAAGGTACACCAATGGCACCCTCGAACCGTGCCCCGTCGGTGGTGTACACCGCGCTGTGGCCCTTGCCGGCGAGAGACGACGACACCATGCTGCAGCAATCGCCTGTGGTGCCTGCCGTGCCCATCCACCGAACCTGATGTGATGCGAACCGAACAAAACATCCCATGCCAAAATTACCCCTAAACTATATTAGGAGATTACTTACCTGCCCTTTTAAATAAACGGTCGAGATTAATTCTACTTGTAGTAGAATACTGCAAGTAGAGTGCACCGGAGCATCACCCTTTATTTAAAAGCAGAGGTAGTCGTAGTTTTTATCTAGATATTAATTATATTACAACACATTTATTCTGAGACACTTTTGTTAGACACGTGGAGGAGGATAAGTCTACGGTTTTCATGACACCACAGGAGTCATCAGAGCTTCACTAGATGGTGGCTGACACTACCAACAAACGACTTGAACGTGGTTCTTATACCCTAGAACTACTATGCTTTTGAACTTCCTAGTCCTAGTATTGCCAAATAACCTCCCAATATTCTTTTTTTTTGAACGATCTACCTCCCAATCTTCTGAATACCTTGTTCATGTGTATGAGCCATTGATCCATAGATGGTAAGTACCCACGAACCATTATTAATTTAGCTAGGGCATTTGTAAATAAAATGATTTAAATGATGATCTGAACATTGATGTAAATTTACATTAGGCTTTTAAAACATTCAGAATTGACAATCGTCTTGAAATGATGATATATGTGTGTCGAGCAATAATGCTGATTAAATTCTCATGTCTCTGTCACCATAAGATCGGTCGACACATCCGCATGTGCTTCTGCTTTGTTCTTGTCATGTGTGGCTCTCTTCCATTAATTACTTTGCATTGCGTGCATGTATCATATGCTTAATCATGGCTCCTAGCTACAGTCGCTAGTGGCTGGATATCTAAATGCAATTAACCCATTCGATATCGATGTGCGGCTCATTTCTGGAGCGTGCTCGTTGACCAAGGTGGCTAGCTGAATGCCTGAATCTGATGGCATCTCTTTTGCTCAATACTCCGAATACCATCGCAAAAAACAGAGTCTAAAATACCATTGTATAATGTGTCATCGACATATGATTCGTATTGTGTAACTCATGTAGTATCTCTATTATATGTGATGGTATTTTTCATATTTCTTTCTCTTTTGGTAATTAGCTCAATTATTCAGACTTGAATAAAAAGAACTACTACTTTCATCAAGCAACATACGATGATTACAATATATACACGCCATTGAAAACATTACTGCTTTCATCAAGAAACATATATACGATGTTTACAAGATATACACAACATTGGAGATGGCATCCATGTTGACAAACTCCCTACAAAATCATTCGTGAATGGAAGGAGACTACCAGCAAAAAATTAGGAAGCCCACAAAGTTGGCCAATGTTCAAAATAACTAACCAGCCCATGTACATATAACTGGGCCGGATTTGGAGAAGGCCCATAAACTTGTACATAAAAAACAGTTTTTGTCACTTTGGGTTGGTTTGGTTCGTGGCCTAAATAGGCCTTATCAAATTTTGTCAGTGCCAAATTTTAGCAAGTTTTAGCATGACTAATTTTGGTAAGGCAAAGTTGTGTTTGTATTGAAGCCAAAATAGTTTGAGTTCACTATTGAAATGGCCTATTTTCTTAGGCATGTCAAATTTTGGCTTCAAACCAAATAGACACTAAACACTATTGAAATTGCCAAATATTGGTAAGTCTAATTTAGGCCTCAAACCAAACCAGCCCTTTGGCAATTTACAGTACAAATATAAATTTTTAATGCGTTAATAAAATTGGACAATGTTGTCTATAATTTTAAATGAACTCAATGTTCTTTCATCCTATTTGAAATACAGTAATTTCACTAAAATAGTATAGTTTTCGTAAAAAAAAATAGTAAGAGAGATTTCTCGCGCTCCAAACATTCAAATACAGCATGATTGTATCTCGTCGTGGAATTGCCAGTATATGCATTATTGCATACACGTTCAAATACAACATGATTTGTATTGTCAGAGCCCAGGTATATGCATGATTAACCACTACGGAGTACTATACTAGTAGTGAATAGTATCTGGTCCAAATTAATAGTTCCTCTCTGATCTGGGTCTCAGATGTGATGAACTATACTAACATGCAATTAGCGTATACTAATCGCTGGAACCTGGAAGCGCGCGCTCATGCATGTTCAAATGTTCTTTGTTGCGTACATGCGAGCGAGTGGCTTTTCTTTATAGGAGGACGAATAACATATGCCAAAAACTTTAGTTTTTCTTTGAAACTTTGTCCCTCTTCTCAAATTAAAGTTGGCATGAAGGGGAAAAATGTCAATTGTCAAAGGCATTTATACATTAAATTACAATATACTCCCTCCCCGTTCCTTTTACTTACACCAGACACAGTTCATGTAGAGTACCAACTTTAATAGCTTATACTTTTTTAGAAAGAAAAGTTACAATATGTCGAAGATGTCATATTATCAGAATACTTTTATTATAAATATAACTATTTAGTTCGTCAAAACATCACAACTTAAAAGTCTTCAATGTTCTAAAATAATACTTCCTTCATTCTAAAATATAATATTTTTAAGCTACTCCTATTAATCTAGATAAGTGTAATGTCCAAATTCATAGATAAAAAATAAATATATAATAACGGATACAATTCACGGGTGCATGTGGCAGCTAGGGATGCAAATGGACCGACACGCGAACCCATTTATAGGTCAGATAAGTGAGTGACCCACCGGTTCCCATATATCGTGGCAGCTTGCCGTACCTGAGGATGCAAGTGGTTCGACCCGTGAACCCACTTATAGATTAATTAATTCTAAGTAAACAACATGTCAATTCGTGGCCCGTGGGTTACCCACTGATTTTCGGCCTCGTATTTTCGTTTATGCTTATGCTTATCAGCTAAATTTTGAATTTTCAAACTTAAATTTGAATCTGATTTTGAGGTTCACTCATCGAAGTTTATTATTTAGGCATTGCTTTTAGATCACTAATAACACGTATATAAAAGTTTTATTCATAAATTAGTTTTCGCTTGTAAATATGTTATTCGGCATATTTCACCAATAAGCCAAACAATAGGATCCTTTACCTGTAAGTAGGTTCGTGGGTCTAGCAACATCAAATCATCAAAAACCGTCGAGTTCAGCTGTGCGTCAACACGACACGTGTCACAAGAAGGGCCGTGGCGTCTGACGCTGACAGGTGGGGCCAGAAAGGGGTGCATGACGCAGAACCTGCTGGAAGTATGCGGACCGTCTGTTTCTTGTGATGAACGGCCGAGATTGATTGACGCTGCCTCGCATCGCGGATCATGTCTGCTGGTCTCCGTCCGTTCCTGATCTGTGGACGGCCGGGATCTCTCCCCACAAAATCTGCACACGACGATCGTATCACAGTGGAATTATTTCTTCCAAATTTTTTTCCAAATCACTTTCCAATCATCATCGCGTGCGCCAATCCGAACCAAATCACGCAGAGACTGACAAGACTAGCTATGAATGACAAAGCTATGCTACAGATTAGCCGTTTCTGAATCTGCGATGCTAATGATCTTCCAAAGAAGAAATCTACGTACAGAAGTGCTAATGATTGTGAGCAGTGCAGCAGCAGGGCTTTTTAGGCGAAACTGAAGATCTTATCTACACTGCATTATTACTTGACTCTCTCTAATATACATCTTTAATTTGCACTCTTTTGACTGCACAGTAACCGCTAAGAACGGATGCTGGGATTAATCCAAACTAATCCACATCAACCTGCACCAATCATGCCATCGAGATCACAACAGCATCTTGCATTGCAAGCATTCTTCCTGCTGAATTTCGGAACTGTCACATTCAGAATGATGTTCAGAAGTTTGATCGTTAAACCATAGAACAGCGTATAAGCAACCACAAAATAGTTTGTGGGCAAAACTTCAATATCTGTGCTATTCGTGGTTTAAAAGAAAATGCTAGAAAGAAACTACAATGAGAAAGCCACAAAGTCAATTTCAAAATTCAAATTCTGACAATGGCTTATAAGCTGAAAAGCAAACAATGACATTGCAGAAATTCAGTCAAACAAAACTTAAGAGAGAGAGGGAGAGAAATATTCAGAAATAGTATTTTAGTGCATTCTTGCCACAAATGTAGAAGTATTCAATTAACAGGTGATCTTTCTACTCTCCTCTAATCCATGGCTAATAAAATGCAGAGAAGGAAAGAAACAGGTGATCACATCACATGGTCTCATCAGAAGGTCAGGATTGGGAGCATGATGGCATAGCTTCTGCATGCCCAATCGCCCATGCTGCAACCGCACATAAAGATCCCCTTTTTTCTCCTTGGCATTTGTGTTGCATTTGTGTGTCTTTTCATTCATTCCCACACCACCCAACACCACCACACCACATTTACATTACATTACAACCAAAAGCTTCATTAAGGTCATTAGTGTTAAACTAATCATGGGGTAATGGAGCCTAAAGCTTAAGCTGTCTTGCTCAAAAACAACAAGTTTTTAGCTTAGCTAGGCATAGTGACAACACACTCACTCCCCTCATTTCATCAAACACCTTCTTCTTCTTCTTCTTCTCCAATGGAAGCTAGTGCAGCCAAGGAGAAAGACAAGGATGGCAAGAAGATGAGCAGGGTTGGAAGCTGGGGATCCATGGCGTTCTACTCCTCGTCTTCTTCCTCCAGAAGCCAACCAGTGTCTGCAGCAGAAGGCAAGAATGGTGGCAAGAAGGAGAAGAGGAGGAGCAGCATCAGCAGGAGCATCACGTGTGCCGGATCGATCTGCAGCACCAAGGAGAGTTCGGTGTCGAGCAGGGGGAGAGGCCGGCGCCGCCGGAGCGGCGGCGGCGGCGGCGGCGATGGCGGCGGCGGAGGGAGCACGTCGAGCAGGTCGCTGATGGGTCCCGGGTACCACGGCGACTCCGCGGCGGCTGTCTCCGCGTCGTCGTCGTTCAACTCTGTGATGACGGCGGCGACATCCGCCACCGCGACCACCACCACCACCACCACCAGCTCGTCGGCAACCTCGCCGCCGTCGGCGCTGTCCTCGCCGCTGTCATCCATCGGCGGCTCGTTCAGGGCGATGCAGATCAGGAAGCTCTCCGGCTGCTACCTCCACTGCCACTCGGTGCTCGACCCGCGCACCCTCGCCGCCGTCGTCTTCTCCTGCCCCGACTGCGACGAGGTGTTCGTCAAGCCCGACTCCCTCGAGCTCCATAGATCAACCAGACACGCAGGTATCATCGCATCACCATCTCAAAACCATCAAAATTTCCCACAGTATATTCGCTCGTTTCGTACATGCCACCTAAATAGTCATAAAAAAATTTAAAAAAAATTTGGCAACATTGATTAATATGAAATATATCACTCCACTAATATACAATTTTAAATTTAACTTCTACAAGTTATAATAAAAATAACAAATATAGCTAATATAGCTGCGAGTGTATAGTAACTATTTTTAGTTTAATTTATTTTTTTCAACTTGTAGAAAATGAATTTGGTTTTACATGTTTGTGGATGATATATTTCGTATTAATCTATTAAACTTTTTAAAAAATTTAATAACTATTTAGAATAACATGGAAATAACGAGAGGATGTCTCTCGAGAGATAGAAAATCCACATCCCACTGAATCTTCTCATCTAAAAACTAACAATCCATCCATTGATTCGATTGGGATTGCAGTTTCAGAGCTCGGGGCGGACGACACGAGCAGGAACATCGTGGAGATCATCTTCCAGTCGAGCTGGCTGAAGAAGAACGCGCCGGTGTGCAGGATCGAGAGGATACTCAAGGTGCAGAGCTCGGACAAGACCATCAAGAGGTTCGAGCAGCACAAGGAGGCGGTGAAGGAGAAGGCGAGGAGCGCCGGCGACGAGGCCGGGAGGAACCCCAGGTGCGTCGCCGACGGCAACGAGCTCCTCAGGTTCCACTGCACCACCTTCGCCTGCTCCCTCGGCCTCGCCGGCGGCACCGCCCTCTGCTGCGCCTCCTCGTCGCCGCCGCCGCTGCACTGCAAGCTCTGCAGCATCATCAAAGACGGATTCAGGTAACTCGACCAAGATGTTCAGAGCCCATAATTCTTTTTTTCACAAATTCATACTACCTCCGTTTCAAAATGCTTGATGTCTTTAATTTTTGTATAACGTTTGACTGTTCATATTATTTAAAAATTTAGTATAGATATATAAAAGTATATGTTAAGATTATAGTTTCTTTAATAACAAAACAAAATACATAATATCTATATAATTCTTAGACGAATGTTCAGATGTTATATGAAAAGTCAACGGTATCATAGGATGGATGGAGTATTTCGTAATAGGTTAATGTGTATTTTACTGACAATATGGATCCGATCCCACACGTCAGTGAGACAATGGGTGTCATTTAAAAGATTTATGAAGAACATTTTGTTGAATTATAAGTTGTTTGGTTTGATTGATGAACAAAAAAAAAATTCATCAGGGTGGATGGCAATGGGAGGATCACGACGATGGCGACGAGCGGGCGGGCGCACGACACGGCGGAGGTTTCGCCGGACGGCGAGAAGAGGGCGATGCTGGTGTGCAGGGTGGTCGCCGGCAGAGTGAAGAAGCTCCACAGCAGCAATTCTTCAGAGGATCATGACTGTGACTCTGTCAGCCCCTGCTCAGAAGGGGTTTACTCAGATTTGGATGAACTGTTCGTGTTCAGTCCCAGAGCTATACTTCCTTGCTTTGTTGTCATATACAGTGGCTACTAGATCAAAGAAAACCAGTAGAATAGCTTGATTTTGCCACTGTTCTTAATCTAGTTTCTTTCTCTGTTGTAGGTTGTAGTATGTTTACTTACTTCATGTTCATCAAGTCAGATCATAATGCAAAAATGGAAAAAAAAAAACTGCCTGCAAAGTGCAAATCTTTCTCTTGTGTCACAGTTGCTCTCAAGTGTCATTCAAATTTGACATGTTTGAAAAGCAGGTACAAGATGGGAACAAGGCCATGAGATAGACACCAAAAACAGTGATTTTGCTTGCTTCCAAGATCTAACAGAAGTACAAAACCATTGTCAATGCAGAGTTTTTGTCCATGTGTGCTGAGCAAACATTAGATGCTTACACCCATGAACACTTTGGGTTCTTGGAAGAAGCATCTACTTAGACAAAAGGCTAAGAACAAACAGCTACTTTGGAAGAAGCAATGAACTGCTAAATGTTATACTATTCCTACCCTGCATCCAGCTACATCCAACTCAATATATTACTAAATGCAAGTATAGTACAGATCCCTAGCAAATGCTGCTTCTTAATTGTGCAGCTCTACAAATATAAATTCCTCTAACCAATATAGGTTAAGAGCTAAGCAGTAGAGGCGATGGTGATTATACCTGTATTTTAGTCAATCATATTCTGAGGTTGTCTGCTTGTGGACGACAAGTTGCACAAACTGATTCCAAACAAAGAGAGCACACATTCACCAGATTCAAGATTGTTCATCAACAATTTGTTAATCTAGCATTATCGTGGCCTCTGATCTGTTCACTGCAAAACTGGACAAACGTCAACAGACAATTTTACAGCAAGAATGTCATTTGTCACGAAAGCTTAAAGAAGATCAGTGTCCTCAAGTTGCCTGTTTTTGTTCGTTTGGATTCAGCAAACAACGTGCTTCGAACGCTATGTCAGGATGTGCCATGATTTGTTTAAAGAAGTCAAGTCTGCAGTAGATCTAAAATTGATTGTCTTACCTAGTTATCTGCAATTTCACATCAATTGGTTCAGGAACTTGCATCAGCTAGTGCTTAACTAGTTGTCTTTTGCCGTACAATTGTTTGTCACAACTCACAAAATTACCATATGCCATGGATTATTGAGCTAAGATGCCTGGTATTGCAGGCTACATTGGATACCAGTGGGTATCAAAATTCCTAGTGGTGAAAAAAAAATCGACATCCTTGTGAGTTGGGAAATTTGGTCAGATGAGGAGTACAGCATATTAGCCCAACTCTTAATCTAAGAAAAAACAGATTTTGAGGCTATAAATGTACCATTAAAAGTCTAAAATTGCCAGGTCAACCACATTCTAGAGTGACGTGGCATGACACGTGTCGAATCAAAAGGAGTCTCAGATCCACGGGAAAATTTGCAATAATTTGTATATATATATAGGCTGTGTTATAAATTTTTTTTATCACACAAATATAGATAATTAGATAAAATAGATAGGTTGAGTGACTGTCTTGCTCATGTATACTGGGTTACAGAATAAAAACTGAGGGCCAGAAAGATCGCAACACAAAAATGTCAGCAACGCTCAATGATGATGAGGCCAGCAAGATCCTCCTCTCACCAGAGCCTGACTAAACACAATCACCATCCATGGAGCACGCCGGCCGATTGCTGAAAAATCAAACTCTGCTTCAGAAACAAACGGTAGCATAAATTGTAACCATATAACTGAAATGTGTTTCTTCAGTATTTCTTATAGCAATGTAACAGCATTTTGTCCTTATAAGCTGTTACTTCCTTCGTTTCATAATACAAGTCTTTTTAACATTGCGCACATTCATATAGATATTAATGAATCTAGATATATGTGTGTCTAAATTCATTAACAACATATTCATATGTCTAGATTCATTAACATATATATAAATACGACTTACATTATGAAACGGAGGAAGTACGTTATTGCTATAAGAACTACTGAAGAAATGCTACATATAAGAGCAGGTACAATAGCAGCCTATTAGCCAGCTATAAACATATTTTAATGAGATAAAAGATGAGAGAGAGCAGCGGACTACAGATCTGTAACCAGCTACAGCATGGACTCCAAGACGCAGTGTGTGTATGACTGGTGGGACTATATATTAATAGTATAGCAAGCAACTATTGTATAAATTGGCTATTAGATTGGCTATAAATAAATTGGAGCTAACAGTGGACTATCTAAAATGTCAACACCCCCCCTCCCCCCCCCCAAGCAAGTACAGTTCTAAATTATTGAAAGCTCCAAAATCCAAATGATATATTATCAAGAAGGCGTGGTGGTTTTACAATGCGCCAGTGATTTGTCATTTCAACAGCAGTACAAGAACCTCAAGCACAACTGATGCAGGTAATCAACCTGAGCAGACGGTATCAGGGTTAACATTCGGAAGAAACCTCCAAAATTTCGGTGGGTCATGGTGAATGTTCTACCGGCTGAAAAAAACATTAGTAGCAAAATATGCCCAAAATTCGTTACGGAATTTCGGTGACCCACGGTATTGTTAAGTATCGGATATCATAAATTAACTGTATGTCCCCTCAGATTTGCTTGAACTACCTAGATTGTGTTTTTGCAACACATTTCCAACTTCACTCCCTCGTTTTTCAAGCGTACGTTTTTCAAACAGTTAAACAGTACTACCTCCGTCCTAAAATACTTGTTGCTTTAAGTTCTTGTTTGTAACGTTTAATCATTTGTCTTATTCAAAAAATTATGAAATTATTATTTATTTTATTTATGACTTGCTTTATTATCAAAAGTACTTTTAAGTATGATTTAAGTTTTTTCCTAACGTTGAACATTAGTCTTATTCAAAAGATGATTTAAGTTTTTTTCTAACGTTGAACATTAGTATTATTCAAAAGATTATGAAATTATTATTTATTTTGTTTGTGACTTACTTTATTATCAAAAGTACTTTTAAGTATGACTTATCTTTTTTATATTTGCACTAATTTTTTTAAATAAGACGAATGGTCAACGTTAGAAGAAAAAAGTTAAATGGCATCTAATTTGGGACGGGAGTAGTATTTTTTAAAAAAAAAGTTTCTATAGAAAAGTTGTTTTAAAAAAATCATATTAATCTATTTTTCAAGTTTTTAATTAATTTAATTAATCATGCGCTAATGAATACTAAGGAACCTCAACTAAGGAACACTACCCATTTCAAAACATATGATTTATGTAAGTTTTTCAAAAAAGTATTTGAAAAACGTGTACATTTTAGAATGGAAGGAGTGGCAATTTACTAGTAGTAAAGATACAATAAATATTTCTTCGTAAACACAACCTTTCCCAATCATAACAAAATCGAGGTGCAACCCGTAAGATTTTTCTTTTTTAAAAAAAATTTGCACCTCTCCTGTCGCGGAACTGCTTACGGCAACATCATATCTCTCGGTGTGCCGACATCACCGGAGCAGTAACCACCTCCGCCGGCGGCGCCGACACCGACGGCTTCGACGGGGAGACACCGGCCTCCACCCGTCCATCCTCCGCTTCCTTGTGCGTTGCCGGCGATGGAGAAGACGGCGGCTGCCCCTGCATCTGCTGCTGCTGCCGCAGGAGGCGCCGGAGGTGAGGCGGGGCGTAAAACCTATCATTGGAGCTGAACACGAAGCAGCAGCAGGAGGAGGAGGAGGAGGAGGGTGGGTCGGCCATGGCGGTAGGGCTACGAGGCTGCGGATGATGGGGTTAGGGTTTCCGAGGGTTGTGGGGTTGAAGCGACGTGGTGGCGATCGGTTTTTTTTTTCAGAGAGAGAGAGATGGCGATCGAGTTGGGTCCAGGTTTCCAAACCGCCGGGCCAGGGTTACCACGCCCCGACGGTAAACACGGTTATCGCGCGGTAACCGCGGTAACCGTGAAAAACCGTACAAAACCATGCAAATTTCATCAAAAATTTAAATTATTTTTTAAATTTATTTGAATTTAAGGAGGTTACCGCGGTATTTACGTTACCGTATCCCCGCGGTAAGCTCGGTAACCACGGTAACCACGCGGTTACGGGCGGTATGATGAACCCTGACTTGGGTCGCTACAATTTCTAGCGGTCAAGATTAAATGGGCTGGGCTAGTTGTCCGCATAATGGGCCAGACACGGCGGTCAAGGCCCAATCTGTCAGAAACTGATGGGCTGGGCCCAATCTAGTACACGATGTTGCATGGCCTTTTTCTGACGAAAATCGTCAAGGTTATTGGAGAGTAATGTAAAGCAGTGATCAGGAAACATAAAGAAACTGATGATGATAGCACATTTGCACTGTTGAACATATTGATATTCAGGAAGCTGGAAGATCACATCCAAATGATCATTGCATGTGTTAGGGACGCGCACGCGTGTGTATGCGTGTGTTGTGGTGTGAGTGTGGTGTGTGTTAGTGTGCATCCTGAGTTATACCCTTTTAAAAAAATGATCATGGCATGAACATGTTGAAAAATTGCACGAAGAAATTGGATGAGCTCTGCAGGAAAATTTGGCTGGATGAGGCTATCATTCGCCAATCTTCGCTAATTTTAATCATTAGTAATTAATTAGTGATAATTAATATATGGTGCAAACAAGACGTCATGATCATACGTACAACATCCGTCCAAAAAAGACAACTTCTAGAAATGAATCTGGACATATGTTTATTCAGATTCATCCCCAGAAGTTAGTATTTTATAGGACAGAAGGAGTAGGTGGTTTTCCTCTAAAACAATATTTTTACGCAGCTCTTTTAAGGGTGTGTTTAGATCCCAAAAAATTTTGGTCAAAAATGTCATATCAAATGTTTAGACACATCTATGAAGCATTAAATGTAGACGGAAAAAACCAATTACACAGTTTACATGCAAATTACGAGACGAATCTTTTGAGACTAATTGCGCCATGATCTGACAATATGATACTATAGTAAACATTTGCTAATGACGAATTATTTAGACTTAATAAATGTCTCGCAGTTTACAGGTAAAATCTGTAATTTGCTTTGTTATTAGTGTACGTTTAATAGAAAGAACTAAACACGGCCTAAGTAAGCATAGAAAGTTTGTGTTTTTGTCCAGCAAAAGAAAAGGTAGGAGTCTGTATGTGAATTGGTGATAAACAAATTCTTGAAAGTAAGAATGCAAAAGATGAAAAATTATCGAAAGTAGAATACAGAAAGAAAGACAAAAAAAAAAATTGGGGGTCTGTCAGACCACCTCTGCGCCACCCTGCACTGGTACCACCAGTCAGGAACGATCCTCTACAGCCGTCAGATGGTTCCTTCCAGAGATCCATCCAAGCCGTTAATCACGCTCTGGCCCAGAGGTCATGGACCCATCAACCAGACTAGAGTGCTTGCCTCCTTATTGGTAAAGGATGCAACGGTACGAGCCTATAGAACAGATCCTGTTCAAGTAAGGTCGTGCCCCAAGCCTCCAAGCTCCAGTTTATAAGTAGCTCCCGCTCCACCAAAACTGGCGAGGTGGTACTAATCGACAGCGCTTGACCTGCATACATTTCGCTGGTAGCATAATGGGCCCAGCCCATCTAAATCATCTGCGAGTTATTGAAGTCCACAATCACATTCCCACCGAACCACGTGTGCTGTCTGCACTGTTTATTCTGAGATTAAGCTTGAAAGCAAACGTTGTATGGTTCCAATTAAACAACTCCAAGCAATATAGAGTTTTTTTTAGATAAAAACAATAAAGAGATTTGAGCTGCTTACTTATGGGAAAATAATACTATTTCAGGTTCAACAATGCATATTTTCGAGTAGAAACTAGTAGCAGATAACTTCCATGTCTGCTGTTATACTAAGGTCCTCTTTGTTTAGGCTTATAAGCCAACTTATAAATCAAAAAGTCTAAGCCAAAACAAACAAGCAGCTTTTTCATTTGGCTTTTTTGAAGCCATAAACCACTCTAACACTATTAAGCCAAAAGCTAGGTTGGAAAAGCTTTTTTGGCTTATATGAGATAGATGTATGACTCCACCACTAAACTTAGGACATTAAATCCACTGGCTTATAAATCATATAAGCCAATAAGCTGACTTAAAAGTCTAGTCCAATAAGCCTAAGTCTAAACAAAGAGGGCCTAAATCAAAGGTTACGAGAGAAGCATAATGCTTTGCCAGTTTGTTTCCTGGCCGGTGTGTACTGCAAAACATTCATGAACTATCCCATGCTTTTGCTCTCAAGAAACATGCAGGATTGCAGGTTACCTAGAACATGAGAATATTCAGTTGCCTTTGCCAATTTTTTTTAATTGTGGATGACATGATACTGTGGGAGTAGTAGAACGACCTGCTGTATGTAAAGGATGCAACTTTGGAAACTTATGTAACAGATCAACAACACCAGAAGTTCAGTTGTGAGCAGAAATTCAGATCCATGGTTATGCAAAAAAAAAAAAGTTACATATGACAACTGTCAAAGATGCAGAATAATTCTATCCAAACTGTCACAGCTCACAAGCTGCCTTGGGGGAGCACTATTAACCTGCTCCAAGCCTCCAACTGCATATTTGAATTCAGTGTGAACTATGAAATGGCAATCATGCAGATAACTATATTTCATCAGTGTTGTTACCCATACCCTGAGACTAGGAGAGGAAAAAAGAGCACACCTTCATACAAAAGATATAATCAACGGTGGAAAATGAGGCCAAATGAATTGTTCAAATACTTTGTTGTTGGAATCAAACCAAACAACAGTCATACCATATAGTATTATTAGTTAGTGAACTATATGCAACAAGTAACTCTACCGAACATGTTCAGGTTTCTGCATATTGAGCACCAGAGACGCAAATTGGCATGCCTGCATCCAAGCCCAACAATCCAAATGCTCATGACACAACAAACATAAAAGAGTACATGCTTAGTCAGCGCCAGCAATCATAATGTTAATATTATACCATATTCCATTTCCTAAGCTCAAATACAGATGTCAAGAATATTTCGGTGAACTGAACATCGCATCCTAACGCATTTCACTTGTATTACTTGAGCTTAAGTCTAAGAATCAGTAACATCGTTTGCACATCTCAAATTACTAACTGGGAACTCCTCTTAAAAACAGAGAGATATTGAAGGGGGTAAACCCTTTCTACAACTCTACAGCAATATCACCTAGTGAGAGAGAACAGATCAACAGCAATGCCCTGCGCCTGGAATGCATTAGCAGTTTAGCACTAGCCCGACTACTAATGAACTCCATACATACAGCAAAAACCAAATAAATAGCCGCTGTTATTATAGTAAAGAAATAAACTTATTGCAGTTCATATGATCAAAGGCTCAAAGCAAACAGGCAATTAGTAGGTCTTTGATGCTTTCCATTGTCAATATTGCTTCTTTCTATTCATTTCCTTTCTTTCCCCTTTTTCGGTAGAACATTAAGACAAACAATGACAGGGACGATCACAAGTGACTCTTTAATCGCTTTTCATTCTAACCATATTTGGTTAAATAAACATCAACTTAGGTATGTGACTATATGAAATATCAATTAATGGACTCTTTCAAAACCAAGGGACACATCAAGACACAAATCATTGCAATTTATGCTGCTGAGAATTCCATAAGATAGTAGTTGTAGTAAGGAACATCAAATTAATATATGTTCGGTAAGAAATGCATAAAACAAGTCAATACATAATCGCCTGCTAAAATCCATTACTAGTAGTAGATAGCACACTACACCATGTTCTTTTCATCAACCGCACACATAAATGTGAAATATATTAATTCATCAGCTATATGCAAAAACAATAACATAAGACAAGATAACTTACAATACAGAACTGGCTACATACTAAACCAATGCTTTTCCAAGCCACAAGAGTCGACCTTTACGCATTGCAAGGTTTAGTAGACTTCAATGAAATTCCAGTGACAAACTCATGAGAAAAATGAACTCTTTTATCACCACTGCAGAAAATCTTACAAGATGTAATGCAATCAGAATCATTTTGACAGGAGCAGTACATCAGGCTTCCGCTGCTTGCCTGGTGTGTTTGGCTTGGAGCTGGGTCTAGAGCTCGACGCGGTGCTACCAGCTGTGCCTACTGACACGATTGCCCCAGAAGCTGCTGCAGCTGCCTCCTTGGCAGCCTTGCGTGCGCTTTTGTCGAGCTCGATCAAGCTACGGGACGCCAAGATAGCCTGTGGCACAAGCTCATGACACGCGCGGGCATAGACAACCCGCACAGCTTCTGCGGCGGTATCCCGCACCTCCGTCGGATTCAGCGGAGCTAACAGGCAGTGACCAAGAACTCTCATCACTGGCTGTAGAAGCTCCCATGGAAGTGGCACCCTCCCCTCTCTCTCGCCACAATTCCGACCATTGGTGTCTCCGTTGACGCGCATCTTTGCCATTTCCTCCTCCAAGGCCTTCCCGTTCTCGGCCTCCGATGACAATGGCGAAACGGACCCCAATGAATCAGCCTCCTCCTCTTCCAACTCCTTCTCATCAAGCTCAAATCGGCACTTGCAGTACTGCCCCGCCCACGCCGCCACGGCGTTGCAAGCATCCACCTTCGATGCAGGCGGCATCTGCGAAATCTTGGCATAGTACGCCTCGAAGGCAACTCCGATAATCCCCGCGCGCTTGGTCGACTTCACCGCCGCCTGTGGCTCAAGCGGCGGCGATAGCACCCCGACCACAACATTCCCCGCGGGTGGGGGGATCGGCGGCGGCTGTGGCCGGCGAGGGGACTTCGAGCTGGGGCTGGACAGCGGCGTGTGGTAGAGGGAAGGGACGGAGAGGTCGGGTACCTGGACAAGGACGGGCTTGCCCTGGCGATTCTTGGCCTCGGAGGAGTAGACGGCGAGGAGGACGGCCTCGAAGCCGGAGAGCGAGGAGGGGAGCGCGGGCGGCAGGCGGAGGAGGTAGAGCGACGAGAGGAGCGGGAGGAACGCGAGCGCGGCGAGGCGGAGGTCGGGGTCCGGGGACAGCAGCGTATCGTAGAGCCAGTGGCAGGCCGGGTCGTCGGCGCCGCCCCCCGACCGGAGCGCCGCGGACAGCGCGACGTACGCGGCGGACGACCGGAGCAGCGCGCGCGCCGGGCGGTCGGAGTCGGCGAGCGCCGCGACGTCGGAATCGGCCGGCGCCGGGAGGATGGACGACAGCGCCAGGATGCGGGACCTCGCCTGCGAGACCGACTCCCACCACGACGGGGTGGGGTCGGATGCGGACGCCGCCGACGAGTTCGACGGCGAGGCCGCCCCGGCGGCGGACGGGGACGGAGGCATCGCCGGCGGCGAGAGAGAGAGGAAAGCGAGATGAGATTTGGGCGATCTCTCTCCACAGCTCTCGAATCGAGGGACCTTTCTGCGTCTCGCCTACTTCTCCATGGGCTCTTTTGTAAATAAACCACAAGCCCGAGGTGTTATTACTAGTACTACTAGTAGGTGGTAGTTGACCATTTCTTTTTCTTTTCATTTTTTTTGAGAGAGAAAAATAGTGAGACGTGGCAGTTGACTGGTTCACACGTCGACGTCGTCGTCGTCATCACGTCGCTGCACCGAGCGGCCGCATGCGCACCCATGCCGCGGTGCTGGGCACGCCGGCGTGGAGCACGAACCAGAGGTAGTACCCCGGCGGCGCCACCGACGGCGACGGCGGCGCGGCCACCTGCGCCTCGTACAGCCCGGCGGCCAGCTGCGCGACGGTGCCCACGGCCAGGGACACCACCCTCTGGTTCATCCCGAAGGAGTGCGTCGCGAACGCCGGCGCCACGGCCGCCACGCGCACCTCCTCGGGGCCACCGGAGACCGCGCCGCCGGGCACCTCGAACCTCACCGCCGCCGCCTCCCCGTACCCGACCTCCGACGGCGCCGCCACCAGCCGCGGCCGCACGCCGTCGAGCCGTGCGTCGAAGTATGGTGGTAGGAACGCCTCCAGGCTGAGCTCTGTCGGGTACGTCACGTTGTCGAACACGTAGCCGACGTGCGGGTTGCTGCCGCCGACGAGCACGCGGCCGAGCGTGTCCAGCGTCGCCGACGAGTGGTACATCCTCGGGATGGTTGACGCGGCGAGCACCTCGAACCGCGCGCCGAGCTGCATGTCCGGCTTGTACAGCACCGGGTAGGTGACCGGCTCGCGCCCGAGCTCCCACCCCGCCGTGCCGGCCGCCGCGCCGTTGACGATGAGCACGTCGCCGGTGGGGAGCAGCACCATGTCGCCCATGGCGCGCGGCAGCGGCATCTCCTCCATCGCCCACACCGGGTTCGCGTCGGTCGGCGCGATCCGGCCGCAGGTCCGGTCGGCCGGGGCGAACGTGCCGTTGCGGAGGGCGAGGCGGTACGCGCCGCGCGGCGCGCCGCCGCAGACGAGCACCTCGGCGTGCGACGGCGAGTCCGGCCGGAGCGGGAGGAGGACGGAGGATCCCGACGACGGGTAGTTCCTCGGCACGCCGCCGGGGATGGCGGGGAGGCGGCGGAGCGGGGCGCGGTTGTAGGGGTCGAACACGACGGCGCGGTCGTTGGCGAAGACGAAGACGGTGGCGTCGGGGAGGAGGTGGAGGAACGGGTAGAGGTTGTCCTCGGCGTCCATGTCGGTCGTCTCCTCCAAGAACGGGAACAAGGTCGGCTGCGGCGCCGGCGCGTCGTCGTGGGGGAAGAACTCGAAGTTGAACTGCCGCCGGCCGCCGAGGATGAGCACGCGGCCGTCGGCGAGGAGGATGTCGGTGGCGTACCACCGCCGGACGGCCAAGAACGACGGGAGATCGACCCACCCCGTCGACGGCGAGAAGAGGCGCGCGATGCGGTCGCCATTGGAGAACCCACCGGTCTGCAGCAGCGTGCCATTGGGGAGCAGCGCCGCGGACGAACACCATGGGTTGGTGGCGAGCGGGTACGGCCGCAGGGCGTTCGACCGGAGGTCGAGCAGCACCGAGTGCGCGGTGCAGTCAACGGCGCCGCCGCCGCCGGCGGCGAGGGCGGTGGTCGCCGCGGCGGCGCACGGCGAGAGCGCGTCGAGGGAGATGTTGGAGGGGCCGGAGTCGGTGCGGTCGAACATGAGGACGTAGTCGCCGGGGAGCAGCTGCATGTGCATCGCCGAGACGCCGGTGTTCTGGTGCAGGAGCTGCCACTCGCCGGCGAGGACGACGGCTGGCTGCTGGGCCACCTCGGGCTCCTGCCATGGGTCGCCGCCGATGGCGTCACCGGCGGCGCCATGGGCAATGTAGATGGTGATCAGGAGGAGGAGGAGGAGGAGGGAGAGGAAAGGTGATGCCTTTGGCATGGTTGCTCTGCATGCATGTAGATTGATCTTTAAGCTGTCTGATGCACGGCATTGCTGTGATGTGATGCACAAGGGTTTGTACAAAAGTGTGGTGAGTTTTTTGGTACAAGTTTGGTTTGAGGAGGTTGAAGGGAATTCACATTTGATGGTTAAACCTTCAAACTTTAAAATTCAGTTTAGGTTATCAAATAGTTTTGTGGCTCCGCTCTGTTTAATTGCTACGCCTATGTTAATCTGATCGAAAACTATATTTGTGTTTTCACATCATGGTCTAAGTACTAAAACAGGAAGATGAGCAAATAATTGTTGTGTTTAGTTCCACGCTAAAATTAAAAGTTTAAAGAAATTGGAACGATGTGACAGAAAAGTTAGAATCTAAACAAGGCCAATGACACAATTCGATGATATTTAATTGTTGTCGTTTACGTTAGTTTATTTTTCTCATGGGATAATTTTCTTAGAGGCAGTGGCATTTCCAGCAGGATTTCCTTTGGTTGGTTTGGAGTTAGCATTGGAAAAGAGAGAGCCAATCTCTTGACATCACGCCCTATTGATGAAAGGGATTTGTGGTTTCTAGTAGGTAGAAATTACATTTAGGAGACCGGTGATAAGAACAATAAGATAAAGGGATTTGATGTTTGCTCTTATTTAGTTCCAAACTTTTTCTTTAAACTTTTAACTTTTTCATCACACAAAATTTTTCTACACACACAAACTTCCAACTTTTTCGTCACATCATTTCAATTTCAACCAAACTTTTAATTTTGGCGTGAACTAAACACACCCTTTGTCACTCTATTAGTCGAGTTTCTTGCCATTATGTTTGTTTTATTGGGCCCGCTTCAATAATCGGGTCGAATACATTTGCTACTAAACTTGTAACTAAAAAAGCACCTTGTGTCTCAATTGTTTTATCGATACACGTCTAATCCAGTTTGAACTATAAATTCTCATATCGATGGTTTCCTCTCCACATGGTTTCTTAAGGACACGTTTAAATCTTAAGTAAGAAAAATTCTACTCCTACTTTGCTAAGGCACGAGAGGCATTTGGTACAAATGGAAAAAAACAGAGCTTTTAAGGCAAGCCGCACATAACCGCCTCAAAATCCTTGCCCACCAAGGATGATCGACTCTCCTCCGTTGATAAGCAATGGACGCGGGCGGTTTTCTTTAAACAACCGTAAAACCAAATGAACGCTCCTGCCATAGGTTATAGCCAAACGTGGCTGCCTTAGCAATAGCGATCCATATGATTTGTGTGTTGGTGATATATGTTCATGTTTACAGAGCTGCTCATTATGTAGTATGTTGTGATAAAGGATATAAAAAAACAATGTTATAGGCAATTTGCACCATTTATAGTTTTTTTTCTTGAGTTCAAACTTTAATTAATTATAATTAAAGCAGATAGAAGAGAGCGGGGCCCACTTCCAATTTGCAATCGTCTCCTCCCACAGATCGCGATCGCCGCCGGAGATCCCAAAACCAAAGCCCCCCAAAAGCCCAGCAACAACATCACAAAGCCCACCCACCCACGCACCGCCACCACCGACGTACGGCGCCAACGCTCCCGCTGACGCTCTCGCCGTCGTCACCCCCCCCCCCCCCCCCCCTCGTTGGATTCTCCGCCCGCGCCGCCGTCCTCTTCCTCCGCCTCCCCCCCGTATTTCTCTCCGCCCCCCACCCGCCACCTACCTGCCATTGCACTCTCCTCCTCCTCTGCCTCTCCCGGAGGCCGCCTCCTCCGCCGGTGAGTGACACAGGTAGCTACTGCTACTACTACTAGTTCCCTGCATTACCTTCTAGAAGCTTCCACAGCAGCATCCAGTAGGCGGGGGTGGGGTCTGATCCGTCCGCTGGTTTGATTTGGTGGTGTCTCTGCAAGGCAACTAGTAGGATCTTGTAGAGCAATGCCGCAGTGGGTTTTTCTCGACTAGAGGATCTTGTAGGATGGAGTGGACTACTACGTTAGATTTGAATAGCTCCGCTCGCTGCGAACGAGTTGCTCCAGAGGAGAGGAGTCCGACTAGTAACATTTTCTGCATCTGGGGAGGAATTCAAAACTCGTTTGTTTGGGGGGAGGATTCTAATTCTAATTGATTGTAGACCACTGGATAGCAATGCCTTCCCCTTTTATGTATCTGTGTCTGTTAATACGCGATAAATATCTGATAATGTAGCTACATTATCATTTCAGGTTTATCACTTGAAAAGTCAATTGCAGATCAGTGCCGACACTCCGCGGACTAGTAGCTTTGTGTAAGGCTGGGAAATATGAATCCTTATTTCATCGGCTTCGCTATCCCTTTTCTGGCATCTCTGCTGTTCACCAAGAGGAAGGGTGAAAAGAAAAGGGGAGTGCCGGTTGATGTGGGCGGAGAGCCCGGCTATGTGATCCGTAACCACAAGTTCGAGCGGCCCGTTGAAACGCACTGGGAAGGGGTTTCCACGCTTGCGGAGCTGTTTGAGCAGTCCTGCGAGCAGTATGTCTACATGCCACTCCTTGGCACCAGAAAGCTCATTTCGAGGGAAATGGAGGCAGCCCGCGATGGGAGGTCCTTTGAGAAGCTTCATTTGGGGCAGTATGAGTGGAAAAGCTATGCTGATGCATTCAAGACTGTCTGCAACTTCTCATCTGGTTTAGTGCGAATTGGGCACCAGAGGGATGAGCGTGTTGCTATTTTCGCCGATACACGGGCCGAGTGGCAGATTGCATTGCAGGTAGCTTTCTCTACCCACGCGCTCCTATAACTTCCATAGTTTTTTTGTGTGTACATAAAAGGTTTGAATTTACATGATGCGGACTGTTCTTGAAGTGTCTCAACCTGTCCTTTTCACAATGTTCCATCACCATCCTTGCATATATAAAGTGAAATGCGCTCATGAGAACAAAAGGAACTATGTGCTATCTAGATAGATATGACAAGACAAAAATGATCAAATTAATGACACAGCTGAGTATATAAGAAGTCATTTACATTCTCTCATGAAAAACTGATTTTGTTGAACATTGAACTGCTTCAGCTTAACCATATTGATATTCTCACTTAGTTGAGAAATCAATTATACTGTTGTATTTCGCTTATGTTCTTCATGTTATGCTAGCAGTTAGCTCCGTGAATCATTTGCAAATTGTCTAACCATTCTTTTCTATTTGAAAGGCATGCTTCAGACAAAGTATTACGGTTGTCACCATTTATTCCTCCTTGGGCGAGGGAGCGTTATGTCACTCACTAAACGAGGTCAGTTGACTTTCTTTTTTTGACGAAAAGTCACTTGAATTTTTTCTCACCCTGTCCATCATTATGGTAACAAAACCTCAACCAAAGTGAATTTTGTTGGTTATCTTGAACAGTTTGGACATAACAATTTATTCCTACTGTATCTGCGTCGTGATATGATCTCTAACTTTGCTTCTGTTTTGACTCTTTAGACTGAGGTAACTACTGTGATATGTGGAAGGAAAGAACTGAAAAAACTTCTTGACATAAGTGGGCAACTTGATACTGTGAAACATGTCATCTACGTAAACGAGGAAGGCGTCTCTAGTGAAGTATCCTTAGCTCAAAAATGCACCAGCTGGAGGGTTGAGTCATTTGAGGAGGTAGAGAGGTTAGGATTGGAAACACCTGTAGAAGCAAAGCTGCCTCTTCCGTCAGATACTGCGGTGATAATGTATACAAGTGGCAGCACTGGAATGCCCAAGGTTTGTTCAAAGATTAGTTGATTTTTTTGTAGTGCCCATGTTGGATTACTTCACGATATGGATATTACTAATGGATGTCTTTTCTCAGATCATCTGCTTACAACTCCTCTCATTTGTACTTTTTTTTCCACAGGGAGTCATGATGAGCCATCGCAATGTCCTGGCTGTTGTATCAGCTGTTATGACCATTGTGCCTGCACTTGGCAAGAAGGATGTCTACTTGGCATACCTCCCATTAGCACACATTCTTGAATTAGCAGCTGAGGTAGGTGTCAGATGACATATTGAAATCTCAGTCTATTCCACATGTTGGTTTTGTTGATGCTGATGCACTTTATGCAAATGTGATTTGTAGACAGTTATGTCTGCTGTTGGGGCTTCTATAGGGTATGGATCACCACTGACCCTGACTGATACATCAAATAAAATAAAGAAGGGGACTCAGGGCGATGCTTCAGCTCTGAAGCCAACACTTATGACTGCAGTACCTGCTATACTTGATCGTGTTCGTGATGGTGTTAGAAAAAATGTATTGTTCTTTACAATGATATTATCCATTGTTTCTTTCTGGCCTTCTTGCCATCTTGACCATTTGTTTTTTTCATGATGAGATGAATTAGGTTGATGCAAAGGGTGGTGCAGCAAAGAAACTATTTGATATTGCCTATAGCCGTCGGTTAGCTGCTATCAATGGAAGTTGGTTTGGTGCATGGGGATTAGAGAAGCATTTGTGGGATATGCTTGTCTTTCAGAAGGTGCGTGCGATCTTGGGAGGAAGGATTCGATTTATACTTTCAGGTGGAGCACCTCTGTCTGGAGATACTCAGAGATTTATCAATATATGCCTTGGGTGAGATAGTACTCTTCATTATTTTATAAGCCATTCTCAAGTCTCTTTTGTTAATATCAAGTTATTGTTTTTGGTCCACTTGTGTTTACTGTGATTGAACTTCACAATATTCAAATCTAACTTGCATACTGCATTTTAAACCAAAACAATTGACAGGTTTTGGGTTGTGCTGTTGCAGGGCTCCAATAGGGCAAGGATATGGTCTTACTGAAACATGTGCTGGCGGGACATTTTCCGAGTATGATGACAATTCTGTTGGCCGTGTTGGTGCTCCATTGCCTTGCTCATACATTAAGGTACATTAAAAAATATGTTTTATTATTTTGGTAGGGTGTATTGTATCCTCATTTCCATAGTAAAGTTATTGTTGCCATGCATGTTATCACTGTGATATAAATTGTATCCTCATTTCCATATATTCATATGTACGAAAGATTTCCGCTAAGTGCAAAAAGATATTGTTTTTCTTCGTATTAGAGATCACAGATAAACTTTTGTGTTCAAATTTTTGACATGAGGCGTGGAATTGCGGATAGCTTTACTTGACCACTAGCCTTACAGCCAGTCCAGTGACATTGTGGATAGCTAGTTTACACAAAGCTATGCATGTAATCTTTTGCACGCTTCACTCAAAAAAGAACATCTATTTTGAAATTTAGTGTATTATGCCCATCCAGTTTATTTTGGTTTTCTCCTTCATGTTGAGATTCAGAAGATTAATATCTTATCCCTCAGATCTTATTCTTTCCTAACGTAATATGAATTGTATATGATAGTTGATAGATTGGGCTGAAGGTGGATATTTAACTAATGATTCACCAATGCCTCGGGGTGAAATAGTTATTGGAGGTCCAAACGTGACAAAAGGCTACTTTAAGAATGAGGCAAAAACAAATGAAGTCTACAAGGTATGTTACGATAATATGCCAAAGCAATCTGTGCTGTGAAGCCCATGATAACTTTTCTTTAACAACACCAATTTATTGAAGGATGATGAAAGAGGCATGCGGTGGTTCTATTCTGGTGACATTGGACGTTTGCATCCAGATGGTTGCCTTGAAATTATTGACCGTAAGAAGGACATAGTCAAGCTTCAACATGGTGAATATGTATCTTTAGGAAAGGTAAGCTAAGCTTCCTTTTCCAGCCAAATTAGCGGCAGTCAGCTATTGTAATCTAACTATTATAAAACCACAGGTGGAGGCTGCTTTGAGTGTGTGCCCATATGTTGACAACATCATGATCCATGCTGACCCCTTCCACAACTACTGCGTTGCACTTGTTGTAGTTGCACACAGTGAACTGAAAAGCTGGGCCTCACAACAAGGCATCACGTATTCGGATGTTTCAGATTTGTGTGAGAAGCAAGAGACTGTCAAAGAAGTCCTTCAATGTTTAGCAAAGGTGTGTATTCTCCCTGCGTTTTAATTAATTAGATATATCTGATTAATCTAGCAATCCATTAACCCTCAATATTTCCATCAAAATTAACTAGTACTACTTTACTAATGATTGCATTCCCTGGATGATTCAGCAAAACATGATCTCTTCTATTTTTCTCTCTTTTGAGAGTGGCAATGTGGTATTGCCGTACCAATATGAGAACAACGGAGGATATGTTGGACCTCATAGGTTATCAGTAGAATCAGGAAAAGAACACATTATAATCTTCCAGTAAACAGAGAATATAACCCATACACTAATATGCAATTTGATATGATCATAATCTGCGACGATATCTCCATATTTTGCGTGCAAAAAGGATGTACATTCATGAGCTCAACCAGATATCATGTGTACGGTCCGAATGGTCGATGCCAAATACCAATTTTTCACTCTCAGTATGCAATGCAACCCCACATTGCACGCACCGTAACAATCTCAAAACAAATTGAATCTAGCAAGCTTATTAAGTAATATCAATGCAAGACATGCAAGTCTTATGACAATTGGATCGTACTGACGTGTGTTTGTTCTTCAGGCTGCCAAGCAAGCGCGGCTGGAGAAGTTTGAGATCCCAGCCAAAGTCAAGCTGGTGCCGGAGCCATGGACCCCAGAGTCAGGACTCGTCACGGCTGCCCTCAAGCTCAAGAGGGAGGCCATCAAGAAGGCGTACGAGGATGACCTTGCGGCGTTATACAGCTAAAGTTGCCGCTGCATTCTGTTTTTCTGATACTGAAGAAAAATCAACAGCACGAGTTCTGTCTCGTGGCAATAACAAAATTTTCTTTCCTAGTTTCGAAACATCCAAAAACCACTGTTTTTGCAATGGCATCAGTGGGTAGCGATGAAACAGATGTAGGTCAATGCATTTGGAAGAAGCATTCCTGAAATGGGGAACAGGTAGATTTGGAATTCTGTGGTATTGGCCTTGTTTCTTGTAAATTACCTGAGATTTTCTTAGCTCTTTGAGAGGTTATCTGAGATTTTCGGTACAAGAGATGCTGCAATAGGGTAATGAATTGAGTCAACAATAGTTACAGATTGGTTGAGCACTAGCAGCGTACGAAATTTGGTGCGATTGTACAGAACGGCCATTCAAGAGGAAAAGATCACCTTTCTTAGAGCAACATCTGAGAGTAATTAGCCTACTCATCTCAATGAACACATGAGCTTATCACACAAGTCGGATGATATAATGATGACTTGAACTCATAACAAAAAGGAGCATTGATGATTTTTGCAATCCAATACATTAGAGTGAAGGGATGAACATAATATATTGTAATGATTTTATTTTGCTACAATGCCGTGTTTTTTATTCACCACGAATGAGATTAAATCCGTTTGCTCAGGAGCAGCAAATCCAGCCTAACCCAAAAAACTTTGCATGAACCACCACAAAAGAAACAAAAAGGACTGGAAGTGCCACCTTCCTTAAGCTACAAATCGATCTTTTAATACATTAAACTAGAGCTCCCAAGTAAGTTTCAGGTTTTCTCAAGAATATAGCCAGTGGAATAACAGCGGTATGGTACCGCAAAGTGCCTAATCTGCACGAGATTGGCCGGCACGGGATGAGAGGATGATGCCCACAATGAGACCATACAGGGCAAGCGCTTCTGCGAAAATGAGGATGAGGATCATGCCCACGAAAAGCTTTGGTTGCTGTGCATTTGCCCTGCCAACACCAACAAGAGATATCAGAATTGTAATCCAAAGTAGGCAGCTTAGGAGTAGCCTCAAGCTCTCAACACAAAGGGTAGTCATGAACACCGAGGTGAACACCAAAAAAGCAGTGAAGCACATTTCGATCATATGATATCATAGTAACATCACAATCTAATAAATCATCCCAAAATTAACCTTCTAACGTCAAAATTTCTAAGAAACAATATGTACGATTATACAATAACACACTTGCCATCATGAATGGAATCATATTCCAGTTAAGTGCTAAAATTGTGAAAGTAGATTATTTACATTCAAATCACAACTACTCAGCATTACATCGTTGAAAAAATTTAAGGCATAACACCTTGACCACTTGTTTGCTCTTCACACCACAGCACATTTTTTCAGTTGTTAAAAGTTAAAACTTCAGCAAAAAATACCAGAGAGCAGTACCAAGAACAACATCATTATTCAGTATATGCTACGTATTGAAGTGCCCACGAGGAAAGAACCCCCCATAAATAAATACTAACAATTTATAAAGCCTTGGCACTTATAACTTATTACCAGACCACAAGGATTTACAAACAGGAGGATCCAGAAATACCATATAAGGATTATATGAGCTTTGTTCTTCATTTCCACAGCCTTGAAGCCATTGAAACGCACAACCTTGTAGGTAACAGCTACTCACTACCAGTTCAAGATTAACTACTAGGCTAATACAAGAACACAATGAATACAAGTTATCAAACAGACAGCGCTACAAAAACTACATACAGATCCCTTAATCATATTTGGTAGCAAAACAACCTATAGAAAGTCTTCTAGAATTGTTAATCAACCTGTAGCTTCCATCATAAAACCATACTTAATCACCAATGCACAGCAGTAACAGCATATACACACTAACTACATCACAGATCAACAAAGCAGGCAGCATCTTTACCTGACACCAGCATCACCGACGATGCCGATGGCCATTCCGGCAGCGAGACCGGCGAGGCCACAGGCGAGCCCGGACGACAGATGCGCGTAGCCGTCAAAGAGGTAGTACGGCTTAGCCTTGGGGTTGATCCCTGTACTGATGATGACGGCGATGATGAGGCCGTAGATACCGAGCACACCAGCCATGACCACGGGCACGATGGACTTCATCACGAGCTCCGGGCGCATCACGCCCATGGACGCCACGCCGACGCCGCTCTTCGCCGTCCCGTACGCCGCACCCATGCCTGCAACAGATCGAATGAAAGCAAATAAGCAAATCCCCCCATCAAGAACAGAATCCAAAGCTCCCAACTTTTTTTCCCCACAAATCCGATCTCCAATCGGGTCAAATCTAGCCACGCGAAGAAGAAAATTCACACTCAGGGCGTCACAGATCGCGCGAATCGGAGGGGCGTGGACCTCCATCACCATCGAACCAAATCGCAGGATCAACCAGATGGGGGAAAGAAAAAGATGGCGACTTTGATTGGAAAAACTGGAGCTTTCTACACCTAATCGCTTGATCGGGGGAAGAGGAAGAGGGATGGCGGAGATTACATGAGAAGATGAGGGCGGAGGCGGCGCCGAGGAAGCCGAAGAAGGGCGCCGTCTCATCGCCGCTGAACACCGACGACATCTTTGCTCCTCTTCCTTCTCCGGCGAGATCGGTTGATCGATCGATCGATCTCTTCTTCTCTCGCGCCGGGTCGCCTCGTCGAAGATGGGAAAGGGAGGAGGAAGAAGAGAAGATCTGTCGGGTTTGGTTTTGTTGTGTTTTTTTTTTTTGGGGATTTCTGATCTGATCTGAAGATCTCTGGAAGCGAGCGACGTCACGGTTTTCTTTCTTTTTCGTTTAGGTCCCTGCAGTTTGTCCGTACTAAAAAAATTATCTGAAATCGACAGTTTGCCAGCCCATTGCGGTTTTGATTATTTCCATTCAGGCCTCGTTTAGATTCAAATATTTTTCTTCGAACTTCCAACTTTTCTGTCACATCAAATGTTTGGACACATACATAGAGTATTAAATGTGGACGAAAAAAAAATCAATTGCACAGTTTGCATGTAAATCACGTGACGAATCTTTTGAGCCTAATTACGCCATGATTTGATAATATACTAATAATGTATATTAAATTGCACAGTTTGCATGTAAATCGCGTGACCAATTTTTTTTGTTATTAGTATACATTTAATAGCTTAAATGTGTGTCCGTATACTTAAAAAAAATTGACACATGAACTAAACACAGCCTTGGTATGGGAAATTTTGGATCCGGTTTAGTGTTATCTGCAGATAAAAATTTTCTCCATGTTAATCTAGGGCATTCAGATTGGAAGGGAAGAAATTTATGTGTTAACATCAATTGTGGTTTCATCAAGTGACATTTTGTAGTGCTAGTATTATTATCTTCATGCTTATGAGTAACATATTATAGCAATATTATTTTATATCTTGTGTATGAATGTAAAGTTATCCAAATTTGATCAAATACCATTGTTGTATTCAAAATTTCATGTTCATGATCAACATGTGTACTTGTATATAATCCTAAGTAGACCATTTTATGGGACATACACGACGGTGGTTTCAGTTAATTCGTGGGTGGTCTAGATGAAGGATACGGTAGCAACAGCTAGTGGCGGTCGGCTAGTACAAAGCAGTTAGCAGGGTGAGCGACGGTGTGTGCTTCTGCTACCGGTATTGATGCTTCTTGTTTGTTCGGTTGTCTCATGGATAATGTCTTGGGGCCATGGGGGAGCCGAAAAAAACAATACAGTGCAAAGCCACTTGTAGGTCATCTCCTCCTCAATCTCCCCTATTGTCTTCCGCCTAACTATAATAAGACAATAGTTTGTTAGTCATCATTTAAGCCATTTCAAGATTAAGGCAACGTGGGGTTTTGCGAAGTTTTTTATAATTCACCCTGGCATTAACCATGTTGATAACTCCATTCAGGTTGAGTGTGAACTATCTATCTGACTCTTCTCGACATGAATGCAGATTGTACTCCTAAGATTTGACGGTGGTGGAGATATTTTGTCATCCAATCTTTGTATTGAGGAAGCCATAAATTTCTAATATAGCATATTATGGATTTAGAGTGCTACCAAACATCTCAAAATCAACATATCAAGTATATCAATCTTTGTGCTGAAAAAGCCATGAATTCAACTAGATCATGAAAACTACAAGTACAATCAAGGTGCTTAACGGATGATTGAGATATTTCTTCATCCAACCGGAGCCCATATACCCCACAACAAACATGTACAGATTGTGAAGCCACTGTTGTAAACCAACACGTCTATTAGCAGATCACCGGATCCATTCTCTGTCCCTCCCGCCGCAGTAGAGACGTAAGAAAATGTAGAATACCTGTGCCTTTTCCTCTGCCCTCAACAACATTGTAGAAGTAGACAACGATATAGGGTGAAGTTCTCTTTTAATTATAGATATGATATTGAGTATAAGCAAATCTCAAATGTCTCACCTTGCCCCTTTATATACAGTTGTCTTAGGAGAAGATAAATCTTATCTTTACTCTGGTTTGGATTAGTCCATAAGAAAGAAAATTTATCTCCCCAGGACATACTAGTCCATAAAAGCTACGATATCAACGAGCTAACTGTAAATTCTAAAGTTGACAGGGGTGCAATAGTAAATGACATGTGGACCAGGCTCGTCCGGGAACCAGAAGTGCTGTCTAATTTTCCTCCAAGAAGGATGATGGGCCATGGCCCATAGGCCACATGGGCCCTTCACCATTTCCACTCGACTTTGTGTTTCACAGAATTTTACCAAGCTAAGCTTGGTGTCCACCGATATTCTTAGGAGAGTTGAGTGAGAAAAACAATTGTACTAGTAGTAAGTAGTAGTAGTTTAGAGTAAAAGAAATGAAATATCATATTTAGTAAATCAGTAGGCACATTCAATAATAGTAAACATATACAGCGACATGCATATGACTTACATGCATGCTTATGTCAAGCAGCAGCAACAACAACAAACATAACAACAATTACAATAATAATGTCCATCACATTCTGTATTTGGGATGGTAAGAATGATCGATGATAAATTTCTCCCCAGTCCAAATCTCTCAGAATCAAACTGTCACTCAACTCTCACAACATATATAGCTACTATTTGTTCTTTTGAAACTGAAACTAGTATTTGTTCTTGTTGAGGAGATCGTAGTACACCATGGGCTTCCTGTAGTTCTTGCCGCACGCCTCCTGCAAAAAAATATATAAAAAATTAAAAATAATCACTTCTGTGTAGATAATTAAACACATTTCACTCCCCACATGCAATGCAGGATTTGGAAAGAACAATTAACATCAGTTCGTTTCCAGCATCAGATCGGTGACCTGCATGGCGTAGGCGAGGTGCAGCAGCGTGGCCTCCGACCACGGCCTCCCGATGAACTGCAGCCCGACGGGGAGCCCTTCCCTGTCGTACCCAACCTTCACGGTGATCGCCGGCAACCCCAGGAAGTTCCCGGCGATCGAGTACCTCACCAGCGCAGCTGCATCGATCCAATGCAATGCAACACTGACGAGTTAGTGAGATGCCAGCTTAATTATTCTGAAACTGAACTCTTTTTTCTTCAGTTAATTGCTCGTGATTGGTTGAGTTATAATCACCTCCGTTTATGTAGTCCAGCTCTCCGGTGTGCCCCGCGTTGTCCTGCAATTCGTGCGCTGTCACTCTGTACAAGAAGTACACAGTTAGGCCCTGAAACTGTCACTGCTACACTCAGTAGTAGTGGTGAGTGATTTTTTCCATGCAAGATTGCATAGGTACCCTGTCATTGGTGTGACGATCACGTCGAATGTCTCAAAGATCTTGTCGTGGAAGTACATCTGACGGTTCCTGCAAAAAAAGAAGAGTTCATTCATTTCGAGTTCAGAGTGGATAGTGTTCTAAGTTTGATGGTGGAATGAATGTCTGAAGAATGGTAGATATGATAGCTCACCGGATTCGTTGCGAGTTCAGGTAAGCTCTGCTGCTGAACGACCCGTAGGCGCTCAGCGCGATCCTCACATCCCAACCAATCTCAGACTTGCTCCTGCATCAGCATGGTTTGAGTGTACAATGAATTGATCATCATTTTGAATTCATACGCATGTCAGCCTGAAAAATGATTTCATATGACAAAATTTATGATACGCTTACAGCTTCTTCAGATACTTATCGAAGGAGGCGGTGCATTCTGAACCCATTGTCACGTAATGCGCGAGCCGCATCTCCTCAATTTCAGGAATTGTCACATCAGCAGTCTTGCAGATAGTAGCACAAACAATTGCAAAAATAAATAAATAAAATGTCAGATTGCATGAACTGTAGTGTATTTCCTCAAAATCATGTCACTGAGTGCATTGTTTAACTTCAGGATTAGATGAAGCGTAGAGTTGTTCTTACTACCTCCCAACCGTATCGAGTCCGCAGCGTATGGACAGCTTTGTAGCAGCAACTTCTGATGTCTTCAGAACAGTCATTGAACCACTGTTTTTGTGGCGAATATCAGTACAATGTTCAGTTTCAGATGACACGATTTTATTACAGTGTTGAAGCACTCACCTTTGCATATCTTGCTAGTCTGATGGTAGGCATCGAGCTTGCAGCTTTCAGCAGGGGAAGATTCAGTTCAGGCTGCAAACAAACAAAAAATATCAAATCTTCTGCAAATTCAGTCTCACTGAACATCCAAACGTGTAAGAGAAAATACAAAGTTCGAGCATTTGCCTGCAAGTGGCTTGGTTGGGACTGATCAGCAATAGCTGCATAGCTGAATGATAAACAGCAACACAAAACTTTTAGTACATTACAACATATATACACAATCAAGTGTAACAAGATCACTGAGAGCTAAATTAGTTTCTGAAACAAGAGAGATTACTAACGCGATAAGCGCATCCTCCACTGTCGCGGCTAAGATCCCTGGCATCCCGACGGTCCAGTTAAGAGGAAGAAGCCTGAGATCAGAAATAGCCCAGGTCAGGTGTGTCTGAACAATGCACATCCATTGCAGCTATGGCTACTTTGGCTAGTGATTGATCTTGTAGAATGAAAAGTACATATATGTGGAGCATGACGAACCCATCCTTGGAGAAACGCCCTGCCGTCGGCTTCAAGCCCACCACACCGCAGAGCGCGGCTGGCATGCGAACAGATCCTGATTAAAATGCACAAAGAAAACAATAACTCAATACTGCATGCAGATATTCTTGTCGTACATTTGGCAGAATTCAATCCAAACATCATTCATTATGTTCGGATATAGATTTTCATCTTCCGTCGTTGTTTGCATGACATCTAAATAGTTATAAAAAAATTTAAAAAAATTGACAACATAGATTAATATGAAATATATCACTCCACAAACATACAAGACCAAATTCGACTCCTATAAGTTGCAACAAAAAGAACAAATTAAACTGAAAATAGTTATCATACATTCGTATTTATATTTATTATTTTTGTTACAATCTATAGAAGTTGAATTTTATCTTGCATGTTTGTAGAGTGATACTCCTATATTTCATATTAATCTATCTTGACAATTTTTTTTTAAAAAAAATTATAACTATTTAGGTGACATAAACGAAACGAGGAGATATCCCCTCGACGGATGAAATCACTTTCCCATTATGTTCTGAATGTTTTGTATCACACAAGCTAGTTCAGCAATGTTTTGTTTGTCAGAGCAAGACATTTTCAGTTTCATTGTTCAGATTAAAAAAAAAAACCCATTTTGCGTGTACTGATGATCCGATCAGATAACAGAAGCCAGAGCAACACAATGTTTTGTATTGTCAGAGCAGGATGTTTTTAGGGTTCAGAAAAATTCCCAATTTGCATGTACGAGTTGAGTAGGTTTACCGCCTCCGTCGGCTCCAAGTGCGACGGGGCAGAGGCCGGCGCAGACGACGGCGGCGGACCCGCCCGACGAGCCGCCGGCCACCTTGCCGGTGTTGTACGGATTCCTCGTCGATCTGAAACCATCAAACCAGGTAAGAAACCCATTGGTAAAAGGGTAAAAAAATTGTGATTTGGAGACCGCGCGGATGATGAACAGGACGACGACAAGTGATGCGTACCCATGGTGCGGGTTGATGCCGCTGGTGCCGGCGCCGAGCTCGTGCATGTTGGTCTTGCCGGCGAGCACCGCGCCGCACGCCCGCAGCTGCGCCACCACCGCCGCGTCCTGCACGCACGGCCGCATCCTCTGCAGCCATCTCGTTCCTCCTGTTCATATGCGTCTTTGATCAGTTTCAGGGTACAGTACAACCAATCAGACATAACATTTCCACCCCTAAATATAAAACTAGTATATATGATTTAGGGCCTACCCTAGTATCGTATTGGTCTCACTTTAAACCATACCATTTTGGGGTAAAATTGACAGACATGTGGATGAATTTAGTCTGTTATCAAATATTGGTAATGTGTAAAAAATTGACAGCACATTTAGCCTATCATACCAAAACTCGGCAATGTTGCCAACCTATCAAATTTTGGTATTGCCAAATTTTGGAAATATTCATTTTGACAGTAATCTGAACTGGTCTTTATTTATCATGTTTGCTATGTCGACATAGATTTGGTCCTGACATTAGTTAGAATCTTCAGATTCATACACTCTCTTTCTTCAGAAAAAATGTTTTTAATTTGCAAACAGTATTTCATAGCATGGCCAATGCAATAATTTATTTTGTCCCCTACAAAAAAACGAGTTAGTACAGCCTACTGTAGCTAATTTAAAAAATAAAAGCACCGATTTCTCTCTTTTTGCAACAAATCGGATCACGTCTTCTGTTGATGAACAGTATCAATCCAAAACACACATGCCAATTGTCAGCACTCATTTTGCAAGAAGCAAACGATCGACGGACAGTGTGTACGGCGATGAACAGTGTCATCAGAATCATCCGACCGTACCGGGGCCTCCTCTCCATGGCGGCAGCAGCTCTACCTACCGTCCTGCAGCTGATTAAATCCTGATTCCGATTGCTTTTTACCTCCTGTTCTTATATATGATTCGACAACCTTAGCACCGTTGATGATACCTGATCTTGTGATGTTCTTACCTGTTGTTGGGTATGGCAGGCAGTCGATCTCGTCTTTGACGGCCACCAGGACGCCATCCATGGCAGAGAGAGGAGCTCCTGCAGTTAATTAGCATCAAGAACAGTCAAACACTTGACATAATCCAAGAACAATTAACAGTTAACAGAAGCCAAGAAATGAAATGGTGCATGCAATCGATCAGGTAAAAGCTGCATGAATGCAAAGAGTAAACGATGAGATACTGCAACAACAGATGCATCAGCACAACGAGATGCCTTCAATTGCAACAGATCAGCAGGCCAGGCCCTGCAAGGAATGTAGTATTGGCCTCTGCGTGCAACCACATGCAGTGGCAACTAACCGTCCCTATGAGCTATCAATGCTGGATCAGGACCATGCAATGCTTTCAGATTCGATCAAGCAAGCAAAGAGCTAGTCTAGTCAATGCATGATCATTAGGGGATGATGCCGATGCCATTTCTATGGAATCTTTCATCAGAAAGCCCCTTCTGTTCGAAGTCTGAACATTTTGCTCCATGTCAGATTAGTCCGAGCCCTGAATCTGCTGCAAGCTGCGTGTTGTTTCATTGTGGAAACATCTCTTTCAGAGACCAGTCCGTGCATTGGCAGGCTCTGACAATGCCTTCCTGTAAAGCATCTGCTGATACTGTTCATCCAGCTGGTCAGTTCCAGACTGCAATGGCAGTAATAGTAGTACTTCTTCACCAGTACTACAAGTAAAAACTCATGGCCGGAAGCATGCAAGTTGGTAGTAGCATACAGAAGTAAACATGGTGGTTATGACAGTTTAATTTCTGCAGATTCTCTGAACCTAAATGTCAATGGTGATGAAGGCTAGACACTGAGGCACTTGCTGAGTACTGCTAGTATGATATAATTACTGTTTAATGCTCGAATGATTCATTGATTTTGATTTGTTGATACGGTTCTTTGGCATAATGTACACTGAAAATGTAGTTAATTTTGTTTACCTTGCTGGTATCTGAGGGTGGATGCCTCGGCCTGTCTGATGACGTCCTGAGGATTGCAGCTGATGAACAAGGCCATGTTCAGATCAGGGCCTGAACACTCCTTCACTGCAGCGAGAAATCTCCTCGCAACCTGCCAGCAATGCAGTACAAGCTAATTGGGTAGCATTCATGAACAAGAATACCTCTAACCTACTAAAATTCAGTGAGTAATTCACACCCCCAATGCACTACACATTGTCATAATGCATTGCATTGTACTGAACTACTGATACAAAAACCATTAAACACGAACATATTACTGTCAGTAAAACTGTACTAAATGTTTTACCATGACAGGAGTGATCTCTCCTGAGATGTAGGCACTGGTGAAGTCCCGGATTGTCCAGCGCCTGAACCCCGGCGATGGCGGGTCAGCGAGCACCGATTCGAGGCGAGCCGGGAGGCAGACGACGGCCTCCTGAACGCGCTCTGCCGGCGACATGTCTGGCTTCGTCAGGCTCACATTCTGCTCAGGGATGTCTGCAATGAAGCAACAGCAGCAGGAGCAGCAGTATTTTCAGGTTCTAGCTGAATCTAAATTTGATTTTCAAATGTGAATTCTACTGTGAACAAAAGTACAAAAACGGCTCGAAATGGTAGGGCCGAAATCCCAAAAGGTAAGGAACAGAAGACAGACCTTGCCAGGTGTGAGCTGCAGTGAACAGTGGTGGCTCCGGGATTTCGGCATCCGAGACAAGCTACAGTGAAATTTTCAGCAACTAATCAGCATCCAAACAATCTGATCACAGTTCAAGTGCCATTATAATCTACAGCGTTTCAGCTAACATTTCAACTTGTGTTTTTTTACTGTGCCAAGCAGAAGAAGTGATGATCATCTACCTTGTTGACAAGATTGTCTCTCTTGAGGATGTAGAGCACGATTGAGCCGATGATCGGCGCCTCAAGAACCCATGCGAATATCTTCACCAGAAGCCCAGCAACCCGTGGAGCTGAAGAAAGCAATAAAACAAAAATGATCAGACATAAGCATACAAATCACTTCCAAGAACTGAAATTCTGAATTCTGAATGCAAAAGCTCTTTGACATGAAAATGGACAGAAAATTCAGCAAGAGCTTGTAACCTTTGACGTTGGGGCTGATGTAGAACTCGTTGCTGTCGGCGCCGAGATTGACCTCCGACGCCGGCTTGTACACCTTGGGAGCCGAGCTGAAGACACCCATGGATGGAAGCTGATGAGCTGAGCTGAGCTCAAGAAGAACAAAGACCTTTGCTTGCTCAACAATGGGAGACGATTCGAGTGTGCGATAGAGTGCAACCATGCCACAGCTTATGTAGTACTCCATGTCGCAGTTTTGGACGGTAGTGTGGAGGTGGTTGCATCTTACAGAGGTAAATTCAATCGTACGGAACCTACAGTTACTGAAAACCAGCTCTCATCACTTTCAGACATTCGAGCTATATATCTCAAGCATTTAGTTTCCAGGCTTATAAACTCGAGCAAAGCACTATACAAGTTTCAAGCTGCATTTCTTCAGTGACAGATTATTCATCTTGCATTCAGTGAATTGCCTACTTATATGTTCAGCACATCTTCAGCTCGAACTGACTAGCTTGTGAGAATGGTACTATATGACAAACATCAGTCTCAACTTTCAACAAGACTTGCATCAGAAACTGGTGAACGCTGAAAAGTAAAGAAAATGAGGCTGAGCTCATAGCAGTAAAATCATCAGGCGGAACAAGCACAAGTAACCATCATTTTCCTGTAAATGTACACTGATCTAAGCATCAGGTGACAACTGACAAACATCCACGAACTGTTAAATAAGTTTATGCACAAATCTTTTTCATCAGATTTCACTTTCTTGTTTTGTTCCTGTAGCTACCAAGCGACGATAAACCGCCAGAGAACACTGACGTTTGCGAATGTGTGGAAGACGACTGAACACGAGGAATGGGTGACAGGCAGCTCCCATTGCTCTTTGGAAGATCCAAATCGTACAGGCCATTTGCAAAGCCTGCTGGTGGCACCTCAACATCGGGTTCTCTAAAGTCCAGAAGTGCATCCCCAGACTCTAGCTTTTCAGGCTCGGCTGTTACACTGTCGAGATCGGTCAGCGATTTTAGCTGACGACCGAGGTTCGCAATCGTCTTCTGGCACTCCACGAGTTTTCCAGCAGCACTGGAGAGCTCTTTATCCTGTTACAGAAGATGAATTGTTAATAGAAACTTCTCAACTGACAGGTCTGATTGGACCTTAGGCACAAACTAAAATACAGGTATGTAAATCCTTTGGGTGTGCTTAGATCATTGACCAGTACTAGATCCATTCGGTTACATGTCACTATAGAATGTGTCTAGGGACCACAAAACTACATACCAATAGTTAGATGTCCCTGGAAGAGTTTACAAGTTCAATATTTTAGCAATTTTTATAACATACACTTAGCAAAAGAAATGGCCATTTGGATGTCCAAACAACCTCAAGCGAAGCAACTAGCAAGTAGATTGGACCATAGGAGATAGAATCCTTGTACTTTTGGCCTGATGTTTGCAACTCTTAAGCCCTATAGTGTTATAACAGTGAGGTGGTTAAATTTCCAGTTTATATGCAGCAGAGAGAGCATAAAAAGACTACCTGCTTGACCTTCAGGTCACCATTTGTGTTGGCCAGTCGCCAAAGCCTTGCCTCCCGACTGTCTCTTGACAGCTGAGCCTCTAACTTGCGGCATTTTGCTTCGTACTCCTCTGACAGCAGCTTCTCCTGCTCAATCTTACCTTGCAGCAAGCTTACCCTATTTGTAAGTTTTGTGATTTCCAGTTTAGCTCCTTCAAGTTGGCCTTCCATTGCCTTCCTTCCCACCGCTGCATCCTCGGCCTTGGCAGTGAATTCTACCAACAATGCAGTCTGGTCCTTAAGTCTTACTTCCAACAATGAGATCTTCTCCTGGAGCTTCATGGTTTCCTGGTGTGAACTCTCAAGCTCAGACTCCAACATCTTTCGGATGCCTTCCACTGCCTCTAGTTGCATCTTCAGTTCCGAAGAAAATGCCTTCTCCTTTGCTGCATCGCACTCCAGATCGTTCACTGTTCCATGCAGTTTCGCAATTTCTGAGTTCACTACCAGGAGCCGTGCCTCCAATGCTTCTTTGGCAGATTCCACGCCAAGTTTTTTCTCTGATTCAATCTTCATTGACTCCATTTGGACCACAAGTTCTTCATACATGGTTTTCTCTTTTTGCAACTCGCTCTCCAGTGTTTCAATAGATCCCCTCAGTTTCCCGATATCCGCATGTGCGGACTGCAGTTGTGCCTCTAGTGACTTTTTATCTGCATCTGCCATGTCTGCATATGCTTTGTGCTGCAAAGACAGAGTTCTCTCGGCATCAATCTGCTCTTGCAAGGATGCCACTGTCTTGCAAAGATCCGCTAACTCTACAGAAGTTGACTCTAACTGTGACTCCAGCTCTTTCTTATCTGTACTTTCTTCCAACGAAGCCACAACTGCCTGAAGTTTCTCAACTTCTATTGACTTCGACTCAAGCTGCAATGCCAAAGATCCTCTCTCAGCATCTAACTGATCAGCTTGTCCCAAAGCAGCAATTTTAGACTCATTTGCCAAGTTGAACTGCATTTGTAATTCTGCCAACTTGTTGTTGGCTGCCATCAGGGCATCACACGACGCGTCAAGCTGGACTCTAGCCTCTGCAAGGGCCATTTCAAGATCCCTTTTCTCAGTCTCAAGCTTTTCAACCTTTGCCTGCAAATCTGTGACCTGGCTCTTTAGTGTTTCAGTTTCGACTTTTGAAGCTTTATCTATAGCCACAGCCTGGTCAGAATCAGTTTCTGTTCCAAAGCTAGAGCTTACACGTTCTACTTCAGACAATGCAGCCAGCTTTTCCATCTCAAGGAAATCATCCATCAGGTCAATCTCAACATGATTGTTTACAACATCTCTTGAGCTGGCACTACTGTTCTTGAACTGATCAAGTTCGGCTATCAGAGCCGAGGCCCATGAATCAGAATTTCTCATTTCACTGTCAACAGTCAGCATACGCTCCCCACTGTCAGACTGGCTATCAGTGAGAGATTCCATGCAAGCATTGTTAGGCGCAGGCCTAGAATCATTGGCCAAGGAAGTTCTTCGTGTCAGATGGCGCAGCTTACGGCATTCTGCCTCAACCCTTGCAATCTTTTTCACACTTTCCAAATGTTGTTTACTTGCTGTCTCTGCTGCTTCATTGCTCAGATCTCTTTCCAGTGACAGTCTCTTCAAGTCCTTGGCTAGCGTGAGCAGCTCGATCTTCAGGCCCTTGTTTTCCTTCTCTGCAGCCTGAAGTTTATCCTGCAGATCATGCTGGACAGCCACAGTGGCAGCTTCTAATTTAGCGGCTTCCAGCTGCTGCTTTAGCTCATAAATATGGTTCTGGAGCTCAGACTTGTGAGAATCCAATTCTTGAGTCTTCTTAGCAACTGCATCACGAATTTTCTCCTCTTGTTCTTCCCTAGCTTGGCGAAGCTGCCTGACACATTCTTTGAGAGCATCATCTAGGTGGTTCACTTGATCATCCAAAGAGGCATTCTTCTGAGTTGAAGCTTCGAGTAACCTCTTCAGGGTACTAACTTCAGCTTCAGCTTGTTCCCAACCTACAAGTAAGTCAAAAATAAAGTTCAATATGAATTTGGTTCCATATTGGAATAAATAAAACTATGATTTTCTTGAGAAGGTACAACTGAGGAGACAGACGACACACTCACTCCACACACACTAACACGCATGTGCAGACAAACAGAATTATTGGTTGATACTACTATTTTAACTTTGCCAAAGAACTATTTGAATGAGTTTCCTCTTTCTTAGTTCTATTGATGTCCTCACATATAAAATTAATTTTGAATAATGAAGGGAAGCCACAGACTCAATAAATGCATGGGATCACAATAATGCAAAATGTCTAAAATCATAGTGAAAAGAAAGATTACCTGCAACAGCCTCTTCTGCAACCTTTGTATGCTGCTTCACCAAGTCATCTTTAGCATTGATAGTCAAAAGGGCTGAAGCAAGCTTCTCACTCAAACTCTTCACAGAATCTTGCATATCTTCATCTTTGACATTTGTGAAGACATCTGGCTGTGGTGACTGACAATGCTGTGTGGAAGAATCATCTGACACAGTTTCCAACACTAGCTTTTCATTTAAAGATTTTGCTGTTGCAGTTCCTTGAGTCTCATTATCTGTAATTCTTGAGCAAATTTTAGGTGATTGGCTATGATTTGGGGAAGCACCATTCGGAATAGGCTTTTCGCCCTGGTTTTGCCAGACACAGAAAAAATGAGAGTATTTTCCGCAAGCACTTACAAATAATTTCAAATTTTAAATAGTCTACAGAAAAAGTAAGAGATTTAATGATTGTACCGGAGAAGCAATTCCTCCCTCCTCTCTCATCTCCGGTCTCTCTTTCAGAGAACTTGATTCAGACAACTAGAGTATGCTCTCAAGCCACCAAAGTGGAAATCAAACATGTGACCTGTTACATAAGAATTAACTTCCTTAACAATGAGATACCACAGGATTCTGAAAAAAAATCTATATGTTACATTCTATCCTCTGGAAAACTGCAAGTCAAAAACATTCAACAGAGCTATAGAGATCAGCACTATCAAAACATTCAAGTTAACCATGCAAAACTGAGGGGGTAACAGATGTTAATGGTGGTTCTTTCTATATGCAGTGTGCTATTCTGGAATATAACTATCTAGGAACAAAATTGAGGCATAAGCCTTTGAAGCAAAACTCCAGAACCATGTCAGATAGCTATTAATTTATTAATTTGAGAATCACTTATAACTTCAGCGAGCAAATCGCTCCTCGACACAGCAATAAAAGAACAAGATATTACATGACAGTTAAGTGCTACATTCATTTACAATTTAAATATTATGTCCAAATGCCACTACTTGCGTAACATTATCCTTAGTTTGTTAATCCACAAATTACAATTGCACTTCATCCAGGCACCTAACTACATAAAGAATGCATCAATACCACATGAAGCATAATAAAACCATTTGTGACAAGGTTATGTTGCTTACGAAGTAGAACATTAACCCATGCTTAACTCAAAGCCCATTTGTCCCTATCAGGGAAAAGGGGCCCAATAAAGAACCCGCTAGAAGTCTTGGGAACCTTTATATCTTGTTTGATGCATTTAAAGATTGTGTAACCATATGTTTGGAAGTACTTAGTAGTCTCTTACAAAATCATATAATCAGGACGAATCAAGTACAAACCTAACTACTCAAGTCTATTTCCAAATATTAAAACTGGCATGCTATATTGCTATTGGTTACTGGATGTCTGATTTCTACAAATTTATTCATTGACAAGCGTGTGACAAACGAGTGACCCTGTAATGGCTGGCCCAACAGCAACAGATCAAATTGCAAATTTGCATGTCATAAATCTGTCCAAAGCAGAAAAAATGACATCTCAGCTAGAGATGCCAACAGGCAACAGCATCCGTTATGTTTATTAAAATCAGAAATCCCAACTTTGGTTCTTAAGAAAAGTTTGTTCCCCAAGTCTAATTCGCAAACACCTAAACTATCACCAAATCATGATGTTTCTAGTACAGAAGTGCAGATGAATAGCCAAACAGAATTCAGAATTTCTTTTCTCAAAACTGAATTCAAAATTTCTTAGATATGGATCCCATTCAGACAGAATTTAACTATTGAGGTGAACCTGATCACCGGAGTGCAATGACATCGAACCAGGGCATTCAAACTTGTGCCTCCAGAGTCAACTCTTGGAGATCCATCTTGCAACCACCGGTCATCAGACAATCAAAGCATCAATAGTGATCACTTGGTCTACCAGCCACCATCAAAAAGCATGGTTTGGATCACTGAAGTCTGAAACACAAACCAATGGAGAGAAATCTCATCAATAAACATCACATTGCATATTACTAATGGGATTCCTTAATAATGTAATGTTGTAAACTGAGCAACAGGCAGTAACTACAATCGTCCTAGGGAAGTAAAAGTAAAACTTTAAAACGTTGCAATTACCAAAATGTGAGCAATGCACAGGATCCGATTTTCCACTGTAATATACAATGTCTATAACTTAATGAACACTTCAAAACAAAGATACCAAGGAACACAAAATCCAACAAGGCATTGAGTACGATTCCAGAAACCAAGAGAAAAATAATATATGCTTGCTGCAAAGCACGGTAATATCAAAGTTTTTTTTTTTAGCAAACGTAAAAAGTACAAACCCTATCCTACCCTTTTCTAAGACAAATCTTTGCATCAAACGAACACATCAAAGATCAAAATGTGGCTAGTAAATACTCCTAAAACTTCAAAACCAAATCTGGCAGCACCTAAAACCCTACAAAAATGCATGCCAAAGCAGAAGATTTTACCCAACTCCGAGGCCTCAAAACGAGCCAAGAAATCAAAATCACTTCGCATAACGCAAAAACAAAAGAGAGAGAGAACAATTAAGAAACCACCAAAAACGAAGAGAGCACCGCGCGTAAACTGGATTGCAGCGCAAATCAAAATCTCCCCCCTTTCAATCTTTGGAAAAACTGCACCCGCAATCAAATCTCATCAAAATCAAGTCTACGACGGGTGGAGTGCGCAAGATACAGAGCAAAAAACCTACAGGAAAGGGAACAAAGAAGAGAGATTCAGAAAATCGGCGCAGGTGAAGGGGAAACAGGGAGCAATTAATACCTCTGAGAACCCCCGAATTAAACCCGTCGCCTGGAGAACAGCAAAACCACCACAAGAACCATGTGAACACCAGACCAAAGTTCAGTTTTTTTTTGTCTTTACTGCTACTACTATTCTATCTCTTTCCCTTTCTCCTAGTAGTTTATTTGGGATAAAGATCAGAGGGAAGAACAGCCGCAGATTCACATTGCTCACCTCGCCCACAAAATCAATCACAGATCGAAGCGAACACACGCGGAGAAGGATGAGAGAGAAGCAAGCACAGGAGGTAAAAAAGCAGGAGGTTACTGTACCAGAGCAGCAGCATCACCATGAATGACACCATGCCCAAGAAAGGAGGAGGAGGGAAAAAGGCCACTGCTTTTGACGAGATGAGAGCCTCGAGTGCGTAGAAATCGCAGCAAGAATCCAAAAACCGCCTCCTTTTTTGCTTCCTTTTTTCTCTCTTCTCTTCTTCTTCTTCTTCGCGGTTCGCCTCCTCTCTTTCCCGCCCAGGCAGCTCAAACCAGGACTCACTTTCAGCTGCTGGTGTTCTTGCCTCCCCTCCTCTCCTCTCCTCTTCTACTGCTCTTCAATGTGTCATTATTGTAGTACTAGTACTACCTGTGCTGCTACCACTTTCATCTCAAGAAGAAAAGGGAGAAGGGAGAAGAAAAAAAAATGTTGTTACCGCAGCTGTTACTTGTATACTGATAAATACTTCCTGTCTTTGACCGGGCAGAGAGTACTGCCACGGTCTGCTGCTACTGTGTAAGGGTATTCCTAACTCAATAACTAGATGGTGTCCATAGTATTAAATAAGTTGTTATCTATGATAAAAAATAATGTGGCAAGTGAATAAATAAGAAAAAAAGAAGAAAATCATGTGTTGCATCTACACAACATCCAAGACATTATGTGAGATAAGTAACATTAAATTAAAGTAGGAATAGTGGTGTTTGCATTGGAAGAGTAATGTCTAGTACTAGTTTTTTTGATGATGTGGAGTTCATAGAAACCATGTCTAGTGTTATGGGTTGGGACTGCCCTAACGTACTACTACTTAATTCCACTAAACAACCACCATTACTTATGCTAATCTATACTTGCTGGATTTGGATGGGATTTTGCATTCCATAAGCATAATGATGCTAATCACTGCCTCAGCTCAGCTCAGATGGTGGATCTCTGTATTACTGCAGGTTTGTAGAGCATGGGTAGAGTAGGGGCCTGTTTAGATTCATTTGGAATGGCAAAAGTTTTGGTGGCAAAAATTTTGGCATTGCAAAAGTACTGGTTGGTGTTTAGATGCATGTTAAAGTTTTGTCATTCTAGTACTAAAGTGAGAGAGAAAAAGAGAGAGGGAGTGGTCTCAAAGCATTTTTTGGTACAATTTGCTAGCAAATACCAAATGCCAAATTGCCAACTTTTACTACTAATGTTTAGATCTAAAATGGCAAAAAGTGCTATAAAATAACAAAACTTTTGCTATTTTAGAGGATCTAAACAGGGTCTAGATTTGTTTAGTGAACACAGGCTGCGTTGCACCTGGGGTCCTGGGGAGGCTCTGGCCTCTGGGCGTTTCGGATTTAATTTTCTTTGTTTCTTCCGATACGGTGGGGCCCACCTGCAGCGCGTCGGGACCGAGGAGATCCCATCGTCTCGTATTCGGAAGTATTCGTATGGATCGGAGTACCCTGGAGCTTGCACACACAGGTTTGAAAATGTATTACGTCCTCCATCGAAATATAGAAGTAGTACTCCATCAATCTAATATGGAACTTAACACATTATTTTACTATATTAAGGCCGAGTTTAGTTCCAAAGTTTTTTTTTAAACTTTCAACTTTTCCATCACATCAAAACTTTCCTACACACACAAACTTCCAACTTTTCTGTCACATCATTCCAATTTCAATAAAACTTCTAATTTAAACGTGAACTAACCACACCCTAAATCCGGTACTAGATCGTTATGCTATGAGACAAAGGCAATACTAGTATGGTTTGGAAATAAAATGAAAATTTTCAAAAAGGTCAAATTTTGGCCCTCTAGCTCTAAACTCTCACTCCAGTGGGAGCGGGCTCCTATGAGAGTTGGGGACAAGCTAAAAAGTGTTTGTCTAGCATTCAGCTCTAGATCTAAATAGAAAAAAAAAAGGGAAAAAAAGCAATCCCCAATCTGAAGCCCTAGGTTGCCGTCTCCGTGTGTGCTACCGGCTGTCGGCCGCGCGCCATCGCCCGCCACTGGACACCTCCCATGCGCCATCCCCACGTGCGCCGTCGGTCACCGCCCGCATGCCGTCCCCCCACCAACCGTGCGCCGCCCGTGGCCTACCGCGCACCCCAAGCCGTCGACTATGCCGCCTGTGCGCCTGGCCGGGTGGGAGAGGTGAGGATTATGGGAGGGAAAGAGAGGTGAGAGGTGGGGTAGTTCGGTGGCATTTTTATGTAAATATGTTGAAAAATTAAATGGTAGTGGGTCTTTTAGATTGGAGTGGAACTGTGCCGCAGCAAAAATTTAGCTCCACCCCCGTATTTTATTTTTTATGAGTAGCTTAGCTAACTCCACTTCCAAAAACGGAGGATCTGAACTGTTTGGCACAGCTCCGGCTCCGGGTAAATTAGAGTTAGGAACTAGAGCTATGCCAAAGGGGCCTTTCTTTGGGACACATGAAGTATATGCAGTTTTTATAAAATATATTATTCCATTTCAAAATATAAGAGCACGGGTCCAATAAATTACTCGTCTATCCTAAAAACCCAATCTTAGAGGATACACGCTCATCTACATGTGCGATTTGAACCCTGGTGGGTGGAGTTAGGCACCAAGGACTCCACCATACTTCCGGTGCTTCCCCATTTTTTTTATAGAGGGATTATGTGTGAGAGAGAAATGGGACATATATTAATGATGACGTGTTGTGTAGCGCCCGTTCCGTCGTGGCGCCTAGCGGGAAAATTATCTCTTAAAAACCCTAGTTGCGAAATTTGTTTCTTTGCTTGTTGTCTAGTGTCCGTGCCATCTCAAGATCTCAAATCCCCGATCTATCGTCGAGTTCAATTCCGAATCCAAATCCTTCCAAATCAAATTCCTCCGCAAAAGTCTATTTTGTCTCCCCCAGGGTCGATGGGCCGAATTTCCTCCCGGCTATCTCTCTCGCTCTCTCTCTCTCTCCCCCTCCCCCTCCGCTCCGCCCGCGCGCCGCGCGCGCGTGCGCGTGAGCCGCCGAGCCGAGCCCTCCTCTTCGCTCCCTCGCTGCCGCTCCCCGCGCGTCGTTCGCGCGCGCGCCCGCGTGGTCGTCGCCCGCGTCGCGCCTACGCCGTCTGCGCCGCCCGGCCCCGCTGCTCTGCCGCGCCTGCAGCCGCTCGGCCCCGCAGCCAGCGCGCGTGCCCGAGCCGCGCCGCTCAATCCGCCGCGCCTCCCATTGCATCCCACGCGCGCGTGCCGTGGTGGCCGACCGCCTGGTCGCCGTCGCCGTCACCCTCTGCCGCGCCAGCCCGCGCCTGTCGCCCGTGTCGCCGCTCCGCTCCAAACCGTCCCGCCGTCATCGCCGTCGTCATCGCCTCGGCCCCGCCACTCCGCGCGCAAGCCGCCAAGGGACGGAGGCAGAGCCCCTCCTCCCTCTGCCGCGACGCCCCGCTTCCCTCCTCCTTTTCCCAAAGCGGCAAGGAGGCAAACCCCTTTCTCTCCCTCCTTTTCCCCTTTTTCTCCCGCCGGCGTTATCCTCCCTCCGTCCTGTCGCCGATTTGGCCGTGAGCGCCGAGCGCCAGCTCGCGCCTTGACCGCCCAAAGTCGGTTTCCAAACCGACATTGCCGCCCTTAAAGCCCCAGGCGCCCTCCCTTCCTCTTTCCCCCCCAATCCTCCCTGTTTCTCGTCCGCGCCATTGCCGCCGCCTCCCGTGCTCTGTCTCGCCTCCGCCGTTCATCGCCGAGCGCCGGGAGAGCCGGTGCGTTCGAGGACGCGGAAGGGGACTCCGGGCGCTCGTCTTCTTCCTCTTCCCCGGCCCGAGGCCGGAGAGATTACTCCCGCGCCGTCGGCCTCTCGTCACTGCGCCCCGCCCGCACGGTAGTGCCTCCCTCCGTTCTTCCTCCTCGGTCCATCTCCCCCCCTTAGTTTTCGGTGGTAGCACGAGTAGCCTCCCCGTAGCTAGCCGGCGCCGCCCCGACCGTTGCCGTCGCTCGCCGTGTGCTCACCGCCGTCGCTGCCCGAGCTCCGTAGCACCCGCTCGTCGCCGGCCTCGCTCGGCGTAGCTCCGCCCAATCCGACGCTAGCATCGGATTCCCGTAGCCGCGTAGATGCTCTCGCCGCCGGGAATTGGCCCCTCGTGACCTCGTCGCCGTTTCCCCCTTTTCCCTCCGCCGGGCGCCGCCGCCGCAATCCGCCGCCGACGGACTCCCTCCGGCGAATCCAAGCCGTTGGCTCGCTCGCTCTTATTCTCCCTCGTCATCCCGGTGTACGCCCCGTCGCCCCTCATCGTCGCAAGGCGTCCCGGAGAAACCGCCGCCGCCCGCGGTCCATTCGCGGCCGGCGCCTTCGTCTTCCTCCCGCCAGCCCGCGTGGCAGCCACGTAGGCGCCACGTAGGCGCCAGCTCGGCCGGGTCGAGCCGACCCCGGTCAGCCCCTCCCCGTGCGCGCGTTCCACCGCGAGCCGTGAAGCTGCGCGTGGGCCCGCCGCATCCGCATCCACCGCGAATCGTGCGCGTGCACCGCGTCCCTCCCCCGCCCGCGCGCGTGCGCCGCGTGCTCGCTCCGCACGGTGAACCGTGTCACCGACAAGCGGGTCCCACCCGGGACCACACGTGGTGAGCCCGGTTCACCGGCTCTCTCTCTCCTCCCTCCCGCGCGCGCGCGCCTTGGGCCGCCTTGGGCCGGCCGGCCCATTTAGCTCGGCCGGACCGCTCCATTTCTCTCGGGCCGCGCCCTAGCCGCCCGAGAAAAGTCTATTGTCCCTCCCTCTTTTCTTTTCTTTTCTTTTCTTTTCTA